CTGTCCTTGCGACTTTCAAAGCTTATTAAAACAACATGAGGACTTTTTTTAGAAAGTATGTAAACTAAAACAATATAAGGACTTTTTTAGAAAATATTGAGGCCCGTGTAGCATAACAAAGAAAAAAAGGTTGAGTACAGCTGGTTTAGATAATAGTTCACGCACGGGTTATTTTTTCCTATATGCAGGACGACACATTTTTCCGTGTTTAAAGAAAGCAGCCAGGTATCACACCAGTTTGAAATATTTTCTAGGTCTTTTTGTAGCTGGGTAGAATCTGTCACAGGATTAGAGTATAGCTTAGTGACATCAGCATAACACGAAATATTAGAATTTAAGTATTTGCCTAGATCTGCAGTGTATATCGAGAATAGTAATGGCCCTATGACAGCCTTGAGGGACACTACTTAGAACTGGATACTCTGACGAGAACATTTGTCCAACTTTTACCTGCGATTTGACAAAAACTCACTTATCCAGAGAAGTAAAGAGCCGCGAATGCCAGCTTTTTCTAACTTATAAAGCTCTTTTTGGAAACACGGTCAAAGGCTTTAGCGAAATCAAAATATACGACATCGACAGGCTCTTTATTGTCCACAGACGTAGTCCAATTGTTTAAATTTGTTAATGTGGATCGGTCTTTGATAAAACCGTGTTGTTCTTTTGGCAAGACGTCATGGCTCTTGAGAAAATCAGACATATAATTGGTTAAGATGGATTCCATTATTTTACAGGCAATTGAGACGGGGCTTATTGGACGATAGTTGGATGGACTGAGTTTGTCACCCTTTTTAAAAATAGGTGTCACCGAAGCAATTTTCCACAATGAAGGTAGTGTGTGAGATGTAAAGGAAGATGTCATAATAATGGATAGAGGTAAAGCCAAATAAGATGCGCATTCTTTTAAAAGCATTGCGGATAAAGTGTCAATTCCAGATAAGGAATTTGATTGAATTTTTTTGAGATTTTCATTAACAATTGCAGATGAGAAGTCGACATTACATAAAGAGGGCACTGTTCGGCATCGTGACTAACTGGGATGTCGCCTGTGGATTCTAAGGAAAACACTTGTAAAAAATGGTTGGCCAGAGCTTCAGCTGTTTCTTGGTCATTATTACATAAGATTCCATCCATTTTTTTAAGAAGTGGGACTGATACTTTGGAAGATAGAGAGCATCTTAGAGTTATTGCTACTAGCGATATATTCTTCGTATTCTCTTCTTGCGTTATCAATAACATTGATTAAATCGTTAGCGAAACGTCGATGGTTAACAAAATCATCATGACTTTTGGTTGTTTTAAATTTTTCCACATATTTTTCTTATGTTTAATTAAAGTTAAAAGCTGTCCATTGATCCAGGGTTTTAATATATTTTGAGGACATTTTTTTTGTTTTTTGTCTTGGCCTTCACAATTTCAGATATCTTTGTATGAAATAGTGTCCACATATCTTCTACTAATAGAGTACTTTTAAAAAAGTGATTCTAATAAATTTTTGGAACAGACTCTCTTTACGTTATTAAAGTTTGTGACACATCGGGATTAGGAGTTTCTATGTTACATTGCATATTAAATATAATAAGGCCATGGTCAGATTTCCCAATAGGTGAGTGGACAGATGGAGAAATTAGAAGTTGGTCGTCATTTGTTAATATATATATATATATATATATATATATATATATATATATATATATATATATATATATATATATATATATATATATATATATATATATATATATATATATATATATATATATATATATATATATAAGATCTAGAGTTGAGGGCTCTTGATTTAAGCGATAGCGGGTAGGTTCGTTTATAAGTTGTTCAACTTATTATGTCAAAAAAATAGATAATGCTCGGATGTTAAATGTTCTTGAAATACGAATGACCTCTCATTCGCATTCGTATCGGTGGCGTAGCTGTCTCATGCGCTTATATTCATTTATAGGCAAATTTGTGGTTGAGAGACAAAGCAGCTTCCGGCTTCGAATCCCGTGAATTTTTAATTAAATTGCATGATTCGTTATAGGATTTGATGTGTGCTGTATTAACAGAAATTTAATTTCTGTTGATATAATTATAAATCACCATGCGCTACCCTGTCGATGATAGTGGGTGAGGTTTTCCGATTTTTCCTCACCTGTAAGTCAAATGGCACCGTCAATCATCTTTAAGTCGCCCTAGAGCGCCACGGCAGGCAATAATAATAGCCGTCCCTTCCCCACACATGCTCATTTGGCTTCAGGGATTGAAATTCACTCGTAAGCGGGTGAATTAGGGAGATTATTATTATTAATAAAAAGTCTATTAAGAACAGCACACCAAATATTCAGCGAAAAGCGATGTTTCCCTGGTTTTAAAAGGGTTCTCATGTGAATTTCTGGCTTTCGTAATTTCAGCTCTGGTAAACGTGGGCTCATCTGTAAAGAAACATAATTTGTCCATGAGGCTGTTTGTGTGCAATCAACCTACGATAAAAGCCAACATCAGATGCTGAATAGTCTGCTGGTTGTAAATGTTGAACAGATTTTATGTGATATTGGGTACAAACCAAAATTGTGTAATGTTCTCGACACTTTCATTCGACTAACGTTAACACGATTAGATATTCTTCGTACACAAGTAGAGGAACTATTTTTGATCATGTTGAGAATAGCTTATTCTTCGGCAAGTTCTTGGTGTACGGGACCTTCTGCAGTAGCTTTAGGAAAATTACCATTTTCTGTCAAATGACGATGCTTATCAGTTATTCTTCGATCAGGAAACTCCCGCTGAGATTCATGCACGGACGCCCGTGCATTTCCGCCACATATCGGTATATTCTTTATTTGAAAACTTTTAGGAATATCAAATTAATCTTATAATTTTAAGATGTCATATAAACAATGTCACCATAACGAAACAATTACTACCAAATTGATTTACTGTTAAATTTAATATTATCCATAATTACTTTACTATTTAGTTTTGGACAAAAGACACAAAAGGCACTTTCGACTTAAAATTGTGCAAGGAATGACCATTGAGTCACGGGACACTCTGTATCCAATCCTATGAAGTGTAGAATTTGGTGTGATTCCTTTTTGATCGACTTTTCAATTTGGTATGGTCCTAAAGCAATGGCGTAGCCAGAAATTTTTCATGGGAGGGGTTTCTGAGAACTATGGGGGTTCCATCAACAAAGTGAAATATTACAGGCATTTTATTAAAAACACGTAAACAAAAATAAATATTTTTTTTTATAAAACGATAAAAAAAGTGAATAAATCCAAACAGTTAATAGCGATCAGCGCCAATACGATGGCGGAAACGATGACGCGAAGGCACTCTATGGGGGGTTCTGACCCTCAACCCTTACCCCACCGTGGATACGCCACTGCTCCTAAGTATAGTGCTTTTGGATTCTAGCTAGAGTGCGTCACATTTAGTCAAGAATATAAATGGAGGTTTCATCCTCCTCCTCCTCACAGAATCTGCACTCACTACCTTCTACTAGTCCCAGTTTACAGAGTTGTCCTTTGAGTCGGCAATACCCTGTAAAGATCCCTGTTACAATGCGTACCATGTTCTTGTTCAGGCAGTTACGGAGGCTTTCAGTCTATTCTGGTCACCCAGAACTGCCCAGAAGTATATTTTAGCCCCAAGAGATCGTTTCAATTATCGGTTCTTCTAATGCTATATTGCTAATACTCCCAATTTAACGAAAACATATGCAAAAGTAATAAAATTTAAATTTAAAATTCTTGTTTTATTTAGTTAGTTATTTTGGTCTATTTATTTTATATATGCTCATGCGTCAAAAACCAATGAGTAATGTTAAATGGGCCATGTTATGAAATAAATAACGTATCCACATAGGCATTTTCCAAAACAAATATGTTTTAGGATTGAATGTGTTTTATTTTAAAACATTCGTGATTTATGTTACTTTTCCAAAAAGCTGTGTTACTTCGGTAAGTGGTAACTTTTACCTATATGACTTTAATGCAATGCATTTTTTGTAATTTTGATCAATTTATGATGCAAACCAAACAAAAAATAATTAGATATATACAGAGTGAGTCAAAAGGAACGGCACAAATTTTCCGGAGTAAAAAAATATAACAACCTCATATAATCCGATTTTCATTTGTTTTTAAGTTATGGCATAATTAAAAAAATTATTTGGCGTTCTACTTGTATCAAAATTTTCACTTGTTTTCACATAAAACATGATCGAAAATAAGTTTGATAACGTTATTGTTGTTTTGACAAGGTGTTATTAGTGAATTGTGGCAGTGGTGAAATGCTTATTGTCTAGTTTGTACGATTAAAGAGTTACAAAATATGCCAATAATTTATTCACATAAATATGGTGTTTGCTTATATTTTTTTTATTAGAACGCTTTAAGAGCTGATGTTACGAAATATCGCCAACAATTTCCACATCAGATAGATACACTCTAGTGTAAAAGTATGCAATGCTCTTTTATTTGTTACTGCGGCTATAGGTAATTTGGAAACAAATGAAAATCGGATAAGAACATATACCTAACATGACTTTTTTACATAATTTTCACGTGTACACCTATAGCTAATTTGAAAACATGAAAATTGGATAAGAACATATACTTAACATGAGTTTTTAAAATCATTTTCACGTGTATACTCTTTGTGCCGTTCCATCCCGACTCACCCTGTACGTTTATTTATCATTTCCAAAATGAGTACCTACCTAGCTAGTGTGTGCGATAGCTGCAATTATTTCATAACAAATGTAAAAAAATAATAATTACTACCTAATGATTTATTTGTTAATTTAAAAAACGGAAATTTGAAAAGAAAATGCATATTTTTTTCAAAATCTGCATCCATTTTTTCTACATTTAAACAACGCTAATTCATTAAAAATACCTCAACTAGATACTTTTTTAGACATATCGGTACCACAAACGGCAGTTTTATAATAATAAAAAAAACATCCAAAACTATAAATAAAAACCACTTACATTCATGGTGGGAAAATTTTGCAGGAAATAATAGCAAATCTGATGCACAGAGAAACACAGATAGAAAACTAAACGGATGCTGTGCAGAGCCGGTGACTGCCCATCGTTCTAATATTAGGTAAGCCGCCTTGATCACTTGCCAAATTTGAGTGGTATAAATACAACATAACATTCTTGAATATTTTAATTTAAGACTATAGTGTCTACTACTTTTCAGGAAACACTCCGATCAACCTATGCACTCTATCTCTTCAGTTCGATTGATATGAGAATAGATTAAAAGTTATAACTTGCCGAATTAATTCTGTTGCCGCCATATGACGTCAATTTTGCATGTAGCTATTACCCTTACTTTGCAACTAACATTTTATTATGGCAAGTTAATGGTCTTTAAACCTATGTACCTACTGATATGGAAACAAAACCAATATACTAAGTTTCCAAAATTTTGCACAAACCCTAAAAAGGGGTGGTTTGTTATCTAAAATTTACAGAATAATAAGTGCCCCTAAATAATGTAAAAAAAAAATAATTTTTAAATGTATTTTCTCTTCTACTCTCTCTATTCCTCAGCTCATTCCTGGTCTCCTGCTCGCCTCTGCTTATCATCTGCTTTCCTGCCCTCCTCTGGTCTCTTAGGTTTTAAGTTTAAATTAAACTCTTTATATTTATCTTTTTTCTCTTTCTTTTATTTACTCTCCAATGTTCAACAAAAAGTACTACATTTAATATTTAATTCATTTCATAAAAATGCATACAATTATAAAAAAAATATTTCTATCTGTGTCAACCAACAACGACGCTGTTACTTTACCAAGCACTAAATAGTGTAAGGCATTCACATGTCCAACAGTTTCCCATAATATTAATGATAACTTCCCTTCAATGGGCTTGCATAATGCTATTATAACAAATGATGGTGGGCTTTTGAAGGCCTTTAGTCTTCAATAAATCCAAATGGAGGGACGAATAATGGTCAGCTGACAAATAGGTTATCTTAGATTCGTTCACCTTTTCACCAGAAGACGTGGATTTGTTTCCTCCTCTTCTTCACAGTGTTGCTTCTTCAACTATATTGATGACACTCGTGTTTTCTTGGGCTGTTCAGTAAGAAGACCTACTTTTATCCTACCGATTTGTTGTTTTTAATCCATTAATAACTCTTTAATCTGTCTCAATCCTGGATAACTGTTTTCCCGGTTTGCAACCAGAGACGGTTTGTGGCCTAGTCTTCGAGGAGACTACGGAGGCTACTTTTGAAAGATACGCCCTATATATTTAACACAAATATCTATTTCTATTAGAATATAACAAGCAGAAATATTTCATTGCATTCTAATAGAAATATATATTTGTAGCCTCCTACTAGACTAGGCAACGAGCTGTGCCTGGTTGCATCCATTTTGTTTGATAAATACGTTGTACACTGCCTTAACAACTCTACAGAAAAGTTCATGGCCTATCTTATCATTAACTAAGCCTTCTTAATCTAATTCACCGGACTTCACATTGCCATGGTGTCCTTCGTGGCCTGGTACCCAAGCTTAAGTCACTTTGTTTTGATGCTTTGTTCTGTCACTAGCAGTAAATTTGATTTCTGGTAAGATAATTGCCTTTTAGAGCTACTTGGATATCAGAGTAGATGGCAATAGTTTTTGCCTGATAATTGCTGAATTATTTTTTTATCTTGCACAGAGGTGTATCGCTAATAGTTCGGCCTGGAATACCGTTGTGTATTCTCCTAAACAAGGTCGCAATTTTTCCCGCATATTTTCCTACAGCTCACAAGAAAAGATATGAGTAGTATATTTGTATAAGTAACTTTTTTAATATGTTGATTCCACGTCTAAGATGACCCCAAGGTATTTGTATTTTGTGGCAAATGGAGTAACTATATTGATTAGTACTAGTGGTTTTAGTCCTATATGTATACTCATCTTTTTGGAAATGGTACAACCACTGTACAACTGTTGTTTTTTGTGCTTTAATAGACAATAATTGTCCCTTTTTGCGCCAGTTGTTCACTAAGTTTAGAACTGTTTGAAAACGCTCCGAGATTGTGCCTGCAAATCATCCTCTGACGATAATTGCCAGGTCATCCTGATTGGTAGTCTTCTTTGGGTAGTATTTTGAGTAGATCCTCGACTAGAATTTACCAGAGCATTGTATATAGCATTCCTCCTTGTGCATAGATCCTTGTAACTTTTGCTCATGTAGTTGTTCTTCCTAGAGTGGATAGATACTTATTTACTAGATACTGCGGCATCCATTTTTTCTAGCTACATTTACCTGCTTTGATAGAATTAGATTAACAACTTTTAACTTTTTAATATTTCTGAAGTACCTAATGAATGAGTAAATATAAAAAAATAGTTATATGGGCATAAGTGAGAGTTCAATAGGTCAAATACAAATAGTATTGTATAAGTATCCATATTGTATAGCCAAGAGGAGTAAGACGCTTACTGATATTGAAATCTTTGAATGAGTTAATGAGTATGACTTCGACTTAAAGAATAATTGAAAATGAAATCGTTGTTGTATGATGCAACGGTTTCCCAAATGTGTGAATGGTGTCCATTCTGGCCTTAGCTTGCATAAATCAGGAGAAGTACATTGCCTAAGTAGGAGTCTTCAATATGATTGTGCTATGGTGCTATACAGGGTATTTATTACCAAACCCCTTGACAATATATTGTATAGACGTGTTGGGGAGAGTCAAAGTTTTCGTATTTATTGTGATTAAGTACTCATATTTCCTAATTTTTTTAACACCCCTGGGTGATACAAACGAATGTTTATGGGACAAAATCTGGTTTTTTACTCACACAATTAGTGTTCATTTTGAGTTTAAAAGATTTTTGAGATGGAGAAGAGAAGTTGCGGTCGTCCTCCACTACTATATATGTACATCGGTTACATGACAAAACATCGCAGGATAAAATGGCGCGACAAAATAGCGCAAGAATAAAATAGCGAATGACAAAATAGCGCAGAACAAACTAGCGCAGGACATAAAGCGTGTGACAAAATATTCTAGAATTCCAATTAAAATTAAAAAAAATTAACCCCCGTGGTCGGCCTGGTACTATCGCTTTGCTTCGAAAAAACAAATTATACATAAATTGATAAAAAAAAACTTAAACTATATTACCTAGCCTGCGCGGCCTGGAGTCATGGCAGGTTGCTTCACAGAAAAATTATTCATAAAATAAGCAAAATAAAAAGTTTTACTAATTTACGTAACCTGGAGCCATCAAAATGTTTGTTTATTATACATAAAATGAGAAAAATAAAAAACAACCAATAACCATGGGCGACATGGAGCCATCGCGGGTTACAGTTCAGTTTAGTTTTTCTTTTTAATTTTAATTAGGATACTGAAATATTTTGTAACAAGGCGTTAACTTGATCAGGCGTTAATTGGTTTCTCTTTATTTATACCAGGCGCTAACTTGTATCTATAATGTATTTGTCTCGGCGCAAATTTGTCGCAACAAATTTGTCCAGCATAAAATTGTTTCGCTCCAAAATGGATCGGATCCTAAAATGTGAGAGAGAAGCTACACTTCAATTATTCACTCATAGGCGTATTTGTACAGTATTTGTTACACATTATTTCACTGAATTACATTAATTAAAAAAATATATCTTGTTCGGTACGCGGTATTTTGTCCTACGTTATTTTTCACTGAACTGTAACTGTTTATAATTAATTCAGTATATATTGTGCTTGTATCATTTTGTCCTTGCGCTATTTTGTTCTGCGCTATTTTGTTCTGGGCTATTTTGTCCTGCGCTTTTTGTCATGATACATCAAATTTTTATAACTTTCTTGTATACCTGACTACTAACTAGAGAGAGGCTGGAAATTTTTAGGAAAGAAGACGATGACAATTGACACTGACACTACTGACAGTGACAAATGTTTCAATTTATAAAATTGTAAACTCGTAAGTACGTTTATTTCGCGATTTTTAATTATTATTTGTGATTAAATTGAATCACGGTTGTTTTAATTAAACGTTGTGAGATGTACATTAAATATTGTTACTGTTTGTGGTAAGAAACATTTATTTATAGCTGTATTATTGTGTATTGTTATTTTAATTTTTGTTTCGTTTTAAAATAAAGTTCAGGCTACTGTTAAAGTTGACTGAATATTTGAAAAACCAGATTTTTAATTATGTAATAAATAGCTCTACCCAGTCTATGTGATACATCTTTAATAAAGCAAGTACACATTGGTTACGAGTTGTAACATCTGAGGTTATGTTAACAGGTAGCTGGCCTAATAAGGATTTTGTAAACAAACATATAAATAAATATAAAAAAGCATTTTATTTAACAATACATTATTTTATGTAGATTCAAATTGATAATACATATTTTCTGTATTGTTAGAGTTTCTTTCGGTATGCAATTCCATTATTAAAGCAATGATACAGTAAAAGGTCTTGACATAATATCTATTTAATTAATTTTGAAAATTTGTTATGTAGATAATACGCAGTAATTTTGTATCCAATTTTTACTTCATTGCAAATATTTTAGTCATAAAATTGTCTAAAAATAAACCCAATCGACAAGTTATTTTTAAACAACTCTGGGTCAATTTAATGCTTAGATTTAATGTAATATTTTGTCCCAATTAAATTGTTGCAATGAAATTGCAATTTACGATGAATGGCTTTCATTATGAAAAATATAGTAAATAAATATTTTTATCAAAGTAATGCTTTATTCATTGATTTGTATTTACATAAATGCTGGGTCTATTCTAATTTGCATTGTGTGTTGCATATACATTAGGTTAAACTATTTAAATACTTATATTTATCTACATTTTATTATATTTTAATATTATTCTATTAATAAACTCTTAAGTTATTTAAATAGATGACAATAGATGTAGAGGGTGACAATTTAAAATACTTACAATCAATATATTTTCATCAATTGAAATTATTTACTGTTAAGTTATCGCTTCCTGCATCTGCAAGGATAGTGGTGCCTGAATGGCAAAAACATGTGCTGTATATGAATCTGCATTAGACAATTTTAAAAAATTTGCGATTATTTTTGGCTGATTACCAATTTTTTGAC